TGGCCTGATAGGATCGCCTCGTGGAGTCCTTTCGGCTACTGGAGAGGATGTCTTGCACTGCCAATCAGCATTCTCATGCTAATAGTGGTGTCCATCCAAACACCATGCTGTCAGATGTAGCATCCATGGATCTGGTTGCCTGATGCCTAGATGCTGGTGTCTTGCATCAGCAGTTCCGGAAATGTCTGGAGTGGGAGTGGAGGTTGTTTTGACATGCAGATAAGAGGAGGGAACCAGAATTGGTGAGGCCAGAATGGAGTGATCAGAATGGCCATCGCTCTCTCCCACCAGAGTTTGTAGAGGACACAGGATAGGAGCGTGTGTGGGGGGGGAAGGTGTAGTTTGTCCGGTGTGACCAATCGACAACCAGAGTGTCGCCCAGTGAGCAGGCACTGAGTCCTCTGCTGGAGTAATATTGGGTGCATTTGATCTTGGTGTGAGATGCAAAGAGGTCTCTAATTCACGTTCTGCATGCCAGGCAGGTAGGCTGCTGACAAAAGAATATGATGTTCAATGCACCATTCTCAAGAGGCGAATCACTTCCATAAACAGCACTGGGGACCTCATGTCCCGTTGTTTATGTAGTATACTGTGATGGTGTTGTCTGATGACGAAGACGTGACAATAGCGTATAGCTGGTAAGAACACATTCTTTGTGTACTGCCCGAAGTTTGTTTATGTGCATCCTGGCTTCTCGCATGGTCCAGGTGCTTTGTCATGTAATCTTTAATATGAGTGCCCCAGCCTGTTATGACTGTCACAGTCAGCAAGGATGGAAGGAAGAGCATCTAGCAGCAGACTCGTATCAGGTCTGTCCAACACACTGAAGAAAAGGGATGACCTCCGATGGAAGGCTGATGGATTGGTGCCCATGGATTGGTGCATAGGAGAATAGACTCTTTGCAGCCATAGCTGTAGACAGCAAAAGGTGCAGGCGGGCAAAGGGAGTAACGTATGTGCACGTCACCATGTGCCCTAGGTTGGAGAGGCAGGTACTGGCTGAGACCGAAGGGCTATTTGGTCCAGTAGGCTCTGGAATCTGTCCTGTGGCAGATATGCTCATGCGGAGATGCATGATGCACACTCCTATGAATTCCAGGGACTGAGTAGGGTGCAAAGTTGATTTTTCTATGTTGCTGTTAACTCCTAGCAGAGAATAAGCTGGGATGTCAATGCTTGAGCTTCCTCTTTGGACTGCGCTGCCAGCAGTCAGTCATCCAGGTATGGAAAGGAAAGGATTCCCTGATGTTGTAGGTGAGCCGCTATCCCCAGAGAAAACCTTTGTAAAAATCTGTTGGGCAGTGGTGTGTCCAAATGGGAAAATCCTGTATTGGAAGTATTGATGCACCGCTTTGAACCTCAGGAGCCTTCTGTGGGTCTGATGTACGTTGATATGGACATAGGCATCTTGCATGTTGAGAGCCATAAACCACATGCCTTTTTCTAGTGAGGGAATGACAGTTGCAAGCATGACCATACAGAATTTCGGAATGCGAATTGAGCAGGTGAGGTGTTGGAGATGCAAGACTGGCTCCATCCCCTTTCTTCTTGGGTATCAGGAAATAATTGGAATGGAACCCTGTGCCCCAAAAGGCTGCAGGGATTGAGTCCTTTACTCCTCTCTGTAGGAGGGAGTCCACCTCTAGGGTAAGAATACTGTCAATGAGGAGGGATCTCCACGGCCGGGGGGGGGGGGGGGGTCAGAGTGGGAGATGTAGAGGCGCAGTCATAAACTCTGTGGTGTAGCAGTGTTGAACCATGTGCAAGACCCACTTACCCATTGTTCTAGCTCTCCAAGCTGGTAGAAAGAGTTTGAGACCACCCACAGAAGGTATGGAGGGTAGGAGTGTTGGTGTATGAAGTGGCTGATGGCTCTCTAGGTGCACTCTGAAACACCATTTTCACGATGACTGAGTGTGTTGTGCAGACGTCTGCGTTACCAGAACAGGTGGATGGGCTCTATGTACCTTAGGGCGCTTCTGATGAGGTTTGTATGTCCGTTAGTAGTAGAAGTGAGGAGTTTTATAGCATTGGGCTGGTAGTGTACAATAACATTTTCTCTTTGATGCTGGTGTATATAAGCCCAAGGATAATAAGGTGGCTCTAGAGTCTTTTAGAGAGTGCAAGGAATCATCAGTTTTCTGGTTGAAGAGGTGTGATTAGTCAAAGGGAAGGTCCTCAACTGTGTTCTGCACCTCTCTAGGGAAACCTGAGGAGCGTAACCAGGATTTCCTCCTCATGACAATTCCAGTCGCTAATACACACGAGGATGTGTCCGCTGAATCAACTGCAGCCTAAAGTATGAACCTGGCAACCAACTTGCCCTCCCTGTCTGCTGGGTGGAGCGTGGGTGTTGTTTGGTCTGCTCTGACACAGCTTCTACCAAAGAGTTATGTGAAGGGTGCGAAAATAAAAATTCTGATCCTTTGCAAGGGTGGCAGGGGCATAGTACCTTTTCTCAGCCTCCTGTGGGGTCAGTGCAGTCCTGGCCAGGGTATGCTACATGGTGCATGCCAGTTGAAGAATGGCATCATTGTTTGGTAAGGCCACCATTTCCAATGCCAATACATGCAGAATGTCTAGTAACTGGCACTGACTACTCTGCATCTCTTCCAGTGGCATCTCAAGAGCATTGGCTCTTCTCCATAGGAGTTCTTGAAACTGACAACAGCCAGCTAGCAGGGAGGAAGGTGTCGATGACACAGCTGCATCTGGAGACCACAAAGGGAATCTCTCTGGATCCACTGGCACTATCGGAGCCAGGCTGATCGGTGCATCGTCTAACCCCATTTCCGAATATCTATCGGATGAAGGTGAAACAGGGAAGTTCTCCCAAGCTGAATGAGACTGTTCCTAAGGCGAATATTTGGGCCAACCTGGCCAACTCAGTTGATCCTGCTGTTGTTGTACTTGTGCCCAAAGAGCCGGATACCAGCTTCTTGGATATGGCAAAGGAGGAAACTGCCATGGAGCCATCGGAACCCTCAGGTAGTTGTGTTTCCAGAACAGAGGCGGCAGACTGAGCCAAACATTCTGGTCTTCGGAGTCTTGCGTGAATGGCGGTGCTGATGGAGCCATCAGAACAGGATGCATTAGAAAGGTATGGCCAGCAGGAGGTAGATATAATGCAAGAGATGGAGCCCTCTGCAGAGGTGAGTGCACCAGAACATGTGGAGACCACACTCCTTCCAAGGCTAACAGTTCGTGAGGACAGGAGCACTTCCGATTTTTCTCCAGAGTCAATGGTATCCTGTTTATTGACAGGACCAGAACTGGTAAAGGGGCGTGGTTTCAGGACAGAAAATTTGCGGGACGCTGGCAGAGCGGAGGCAGGTGGGAAACAGCATCGGGGATCTGGTGAACGGTGTGGCCTCTTATCACTCTTGTGCGCCTTGGAGCGTGTAGCTCCTCCGTGGCTGGAACTCATGGATGATGCAGTGTCCTTCTTGGGTTTAGATGAAGACTTACTGCTATGCTTATGCGTGTGATTCCATGGCTCATGGCTAGGCCCCGACATGAGGTCTCTAGCTTTGGTAGCAGCAGATCCAGACAGAGGCTCCGCAGTACCACTCTTGGATTGCTCAGGCCAATGTATGGGGGATTCTGTGGCCAGGATCCGGCTTCAGGACCACAGCTACCTCCATGAGGTGTTTCTTGAAGCGGAGAGATTGGCCTTCCCGTGTACACGGGAAGGAGGAGCAGATACTGCACCTGGAAGCAATGTGGACTTTCCCCAAAGAGTACAAACAGCATTGGTGTTTGTCACTGATGGAAAATGAGCAAGGGCAGGAAGCACAGACTTTGAATCCTGGTGTCTTTGGCATAATCCAGTACCGAGACCCAGGAGCTTGGGGGGAAGTGGCGGTGAAAGAGGGATTTGTTTGATGAGAAAAACCGCCAGAGCGGCATCCAAGGTCCTTATTTATAAAAACTGCTAGGAATTACTAAAGTACAATGAAAAACAATAAAATCCTAAATACAAACAAAAATAAGAACTCTTTTTGTAAAATATTTTGAAAATGTGTCCCTAAGAACAAGAGGTCAGCAGACGCTCTGATTCAGACCATCCAGCGGTGAGAAGGAACTGAAGAAACCACAAGGCAATACAAGGACATATGCACGAACCACCAAGCAATACTACTTGGAAAAGCTCTTGCTCTGGGTGCATGGCATATGTGCAGTGAATTGCAATAGGGACCATCACTTGAAGAACTATGTCTTTCCATTTCCCATGCCTTTTCTCTTCCCCAGTGACTTGTCTTATCAGTTCAGACTGTAAACTCTTTCGGGCATGGACAACAAGGTCATTACTCACGGAGTTCAGTATCACGCAGTCCTCTGGCATTGCATTACAGATGTCAAATAACCATAATCAGCAAAATACTTATGCTTTATAGAAAACTTCAATAACTTTTCAGACATATTTCAAAAAAGTTAGAAGTCTCTAAAAGTAGCACGATTTATATATTATGCTGCCTGGAATTGTATAAGATATCGTCATCAATTTTCCATTTAAATTTAAGTAGGACAAAGCCAGTCTATGTTAATAAAGTCAGACAAATATAAATAAAAAAACCGCACATTTAACTAAAAGTTTACTTACAAACTCAAACCTTCAAATAAATATCAAGCATTACGTTTAACTTCAATTTAACTTGATTTCTACTCAAACCAAAATTAAAACTAAGACCATGTTTTATTTTCTTACTGATTTAAGAGCAGATTATTTTAGCCAGTCTACACATACAGAATTTAAAATCTTCTAATATTTAAGACAACTCAATCAAAACAAAATACAACCAGAAGTGTTTTAAAATAGACTAATTGCCCTTTGGATAATTACTGAATTATGAAGAAAGCTGGTAGAACTGAATGTTTTATTATTGGTAAAGACACAGAATCAACATAACAAGAGGGAAAGGATAATACAGTCTTTTCTTTATGGGGAAATTTCATTGCTATTATTTTTCAGACCACCAAATTTTAAGACGAGTACTCACCAAGTCTCTCCTAAGTTGAATAAAAAACTGTTTGCACTTAAAAGAAATTTTTACAATCTTCAACCTAAATGAAAAATGAAATAAAATCAGAATATTTATACACTTTTAGTATAATAAAATCATATTAAAACAATTATGGTACATTTATTGAAAGGTATGTTTTTACAGAGAACTAATTTAATTCATATGAAATTTCATTTGGCAGGAAATAACTAAAAAGAATAATGGCTATATTAGTAGTTTGTATGATTTAAGTTTTGTAAACGAAGGCACTCTCCCGATGTACATTTCATTGGTATGTTGGTAATTTTTTAAATAATTGTTCCACATATACATCTTTCAGTATTACTGTAAATCCTTAATAAATTCTCTATTTTTTTTTATTGTTACTTCCTGAGAAATCACCATCTCTGCAGGGGTCATATCTTATTTATTAGAAACATACTACAACAACGTCAAAGCAATAACTAAATTTATGTGAAACTCCTGGGATTAATGTGTCACTTAAAAGAAAGTTAGAGGCTGGTCACAGCAGTGCAGGATGGGGAAATACACCAGGTATAAAATCAGCCTCAGGCAGTAGCAATAGAGAAAAGAAACTAATTCCAACCTAAAATAGGTTATATCTAATAGTCATGAATAAGTTGCAATTCATTTTGTAAAATTAAGTCTAGTTTTTAAAATGTAAAATATTCTTAGAACAGAATATTTCAATATACTTTTTTTAAAAGCTCCCTTGTACATTACTAATTGAAGATCACTTACTAATTCCTGTATTCTATCCATGCCAGAGCAGCTTTCTGAAATAATGGCAACATCTGAAAGTTGGAGTCCTCATTACAATATATCCTGCTGTGTTTTACTACTTTAGACCACTTTAAGAGATTTTCTGCTGTTCTGTTAAAGCAACTTCCTGTGACCTATGGAATGGAGGCGGCTTCCTTGTTGCTGAAGAAGTCCCTTTATCTAGTAAAGTCAATTACAGCACAGGAACCCAAGGTCAAGTGTATTCTTTGACAAGTGCTGCCACCTTGTTATATGCAACTTGCTCATTTTGACAAAATGCTATGGTCAGTTATAAGGAACTCAGGGTAAAGAGAATCTCTAACTGTCCAAGCTAGCGAAGCAGGTCCTTTATGTCAAATTCCAGGACAGTCAGCCTGAAACACAGGCCTTAGACCTACCATCAAATTCTTTTAGTAAAGAATTTGTTAATGGACTTGTATCCCTATTTAAAAAGTAACTGGACTCATGGAAGATACATATGCTATAAACAGTTACAATACACCTTTCCCACATTTTGGAAAACCTACTGAATGAAAAGATACAGGTTTGTTGAAGTAAAAAAAATCAGAACAGAAATGTTACAAAATACCTGCTTTTCACTCAGAACTAAATCAATGGCTATTATAAGAATAAATACAAAAATAGTCAGTTTATGCAGACAGTTATGTTAAGTGAAGTTTCTTCAATGTGCTCCCATAGTAACCCACTGATGTCCTGTCATCATTTCAATAAGAGTCCCCTTCTCACTAGGTCTACAAAAAGCCTTATCACAGGTGTAAGTAAGACAAAGAGTAAGGGACTGGGAAATCTAAGTGTTTGTTTTCCTTTTGAACAAGAACTTTTCCACAAAACCAAGCAAAGAACCACGATCACTGGGTAAACAAACCTGTATGAAGTGCACTTATTAACTGGAGTTTATACCGTATTTTGTTAAATCAAAATTATATGGGGTATAATGACAACTTTCAACTTCTGTAATTTGAAGAAGATGGCAATGATATAATGCGGGGTGGGCAAACTAAGGCCCCTGAGCTCCCGCTGGGGAGCAGGGGCTAGGGCTTGCCCCACTCCGGCACTTCAGCCGGAGAGCAGGGTTGGGGGCCGCTCCACACGGCTCCCGGAAGCAGCGGCATGGCCCCACTCCAGCTCCTACGCGCTCCAATGGCCCCCTCCAGCACTCCAATGGGAGCTGTGGGGGCAGTGCCTGCGGATGGGGCAGCATGCAGAGCCGTCTGACCGCACCTCCACGTAGGAGCCAGAGAAGGGACATGTCGCTGCTTCCGGGAGACGCTTGAGGTAAGCGCCGCCCGGAGCCTGCACCCCTGAGCCTCTCCCTACGCCCCAACCACCTGCCCCAGCCCTGATCCCCCTTCCACCCACCGAACCCCTCAGTCCCAGCCCAGAGCACCCTCCTACACCCCAAATTTCTCATCCCCAGCCGGAGCCCTCCCCTCCCAAATCCCACTCCTCTACCCTAGCCCCAAGACCACTCCCACACCCTGAACTTCTCATTTCTGGCTCCACCCCAGAGCCTGCACCCCCAACCAGAGCTCTCACCCCCTCCTACACCCCAACCCCAATTTTGTGAGCATTCATGGCTCACCATACAATTTCTATTCCCAGATGTAGCCCTCAGGCCAAAAAGTTTGCCCACCCCTGATCTAAAGGGTACCAGGCTATACTCCTCTGGGTGTTTCTGAAAATACTTGCCATCCAGCACAATTTGCTCCATTCAAAAGGCAATAAAATTTACTCCTGAGAAGATTTTTTTTTCAATGAGGTCCAAAGATAAGCTGTGTCAGTCAGGGATGATGGAGCAATATTCGAAAATGAAGTGAAAAGCACCACGGTCAGGAAATCATCCCAACCCTCCCTTTAATTTGGTGACAGAATCTTGACAAGTGGGTCAAAGTCACCTTGAACCTTCACCAGCATGCCAGCTATGGAACTTTTCATGTTCTCTGTATGTATAAATATCTTCTGTCTGTGTGTTCCACTCTGTGCAGCTGAAGAAGTAAGCTGTAGCCTACAAAAGCTTATGCTGAAATAAATTTGTTAGTCTCTAAGATGCCACAAGTATTCCTGTTCTTTTAGCTATGGAACTGTTTCCCTGGTTACACTTGCCAAATTCTGCTTCACCTCTTTCTCCAGCTTTGTGATATAACTGAGGTCAAAGGAAAATGACCATCACCCATTTACTCTTAAGAATAAAATAAATTGCTAATAAAGTTAATGAGGTGCAAAACTAGCTTTATAAACCTAGGATAAAGTCCATGCCAAGTAACTGGTTAGCAAGTGCACAAAGCATTACAAACATAATCAAGGTGTATTCAGACTTTGCCAAGTATGCATTTTTTGATCTCTAAGCACATTCAACATAAAAAAAAAATGATGCCTATCATAACCTTCCCAACTCCTTTGGCCCAGGAAAAATCTGAGAAAACAAGATCAGCAAATCCAGACACTGGTGAACAAAGATGAGGGGAAATCTCACTCCATCACTGACCACAACCTGGATTAATCAGGTTAGTAACCACACAAAACGGTTCCACTGAATGTGACTTTGCTGATGGTAGATGTGAAGAAACTTCTCTGCATCCTTCTACCATAGGCATGGTGTAAGATTTCAAAATTTCATTATGAAGCAATTGATAGAACTCAGACCAAGAGACTGTCTGATATCTAGCCTTTTGCTTCATCAGTTGCAAGTCAACTAAATACAATGGGAACTCGTGAGGAAGGAGCCAAGGAAGAGAGCGTTTAGGATGGTACAGGAGAACATCTTACTAGATCATTGACAAAGTGGTCCGTTAGCCAGACAATCGTTTCTTTAGCCTGCAAAACACACACACACACACACACACCTTCCTTATCTCTAAGCCTAGCCTCAAAATCAAGATACAGAGTGTGACCAACTATTCAAATTACTCAGAATTTAGAACAAATTAAGAGACTTCAAATGATACTGCAGAAAACAATCCACAGGCACTCAGATAATACTATGACGTTGGGGGGGGGGGGGAAGGGGCACATAAATAGATCAGGATTGCATCAACTCAAGGAGGGACTTTTTGGTGTAGCAAGATCATCTATGCACATATGCAGATCTCCTCACAATATTGATGAATCCTAAAATTCGCACATAAACTGGATATGCTGTATCAGATCTATCTGTATCTCCAGGGAATCTGCAATCCTCGAACAGAGTTCCTGGAACTGTTTAAAATCATCCCCCATGGTGGGCATGATTGTTTCATCCAGGGAAGAGGATGAAAATTTGGCACCTGGTGCAGGGTCCTGGTCCAAAGTCTCCTTTAATTCCTTGACTGCCTCTCCCGGAGGGTCAGATGGTCCAGGTACAAAGGGTGAAGGAGAATGCCTCGATCTCACCCTGAGTGGACTGGGAGGCTTAGGATATTGTTGGCAGTACGCTGCCCATGCATCCCAGAAAGGACACTGAGGTAGAAATGGCATCCATATGTGGCATCTATATGTGCCTGTACCAGCCTGGAGTTTTAGGTCCTGGGTGATAATCATCACGTTCTTGTGGATCTTGTCTAGTAACTGTGTGGGTAGGTGAGGAGTAGATTTTCCCTTCATCCTCATCACTAGATAAAGTAGGAGCTGATCTGTGCAGTGTGGTAAGTTGCCTTGGTACCGAGCATGCAGCACTGAGGTCGCTACCAAGGAGTGGAGACTCTGTTGCTGAGGAGACCAGAAGATCTTTGTGGCAGAGAAACTGTTGCGGTACTGAGAGCATCAGTACCAAAGAAGGTGTTGTCAGCGGTACCGATGACTTTGCCGCAGTTGTTGGTGCCAAGGGTCGTGCAGAAGGTGGCGCCACAGCCTGTAGCATTGCCGAGCTGCTCGGTGCCACATGTTTGAGTGGCTCTGGTGGTACCGAGGCAGGGATTGTAGATCTCCCTTTACTGCCTTTTTCCAAGCCAGCCTGCTTAGGGTCTTTTGCTTGCGTGGTACTCACAGTACCGGATGGTGCCGCTACCTCAGAGGTGGAAGGTCTTGGTGCAGTTGGTACCGATGGAGACTACTGAGTCGGCGCTTTTTGGCGTATTCCCAAGGAGGGGAGTTCGGAACCCGCTTCTTTGCTGCCTTCTTGGCAGAGTGCTCCTTCCCCTGAGCGTGTGGAGGAGAACCTGTCAGATGCCGCTGTAGGAAACTGTTGCCCTGGAGGGGTCTGTGATCCCGGATTGGATGTGGGCCATAAAGACTTCTCCATCATGAGAAGTTTTAGCTCTATGTCTCTCACCTTTCTGGCACGGACTTTCAAGTTGTGGCAGTGGGAGCACTTTTGAGGTACGTGTCTCACTGAGGCAGCAGACACACAGAGTGCCCATGACAAAGTTAGATTGAGAAGCGGCAAGTGAGGCAACATTTAAAACAGGGGGAGGTGGGCATGTCCCTCAAAGGGGGGGGAGGTGGGCATGCCCCTCAAAGGAGGGGTGGGGGGGAGGGATAGCTCAGTGGTTTGAGCATTGGCCTGCTAAACCCAGGGTTGTGAGTTCAATCCTTGGGGCAAAATCAGTACTTGGTCCTGCTAGTGAAGGCAGGGGGCTGGACTCGATGACCTTTCGGGGTCCCTTCCAGTTCTAGGAGATAGGATATCTCCATATATATTAAATATATATATTAAAAGGAGGGTTCCTCTCATGAGGGAGGGTAACTATGCTACATCAAGGGGTGTCCTAACAACTGAAATTTAAATTCCTAAGAAAAAAAAGGGGGTTTTGTTTGTTTAAGAAAATAAACAGGGATGGGTAAGTAATTATTGACTAACTATTAACTAATTACTAACCAGCTAGTATTCTAAAGTTAAATTAGAGTACAGAGACACTGCTAAATGCTCCGTCTCAAGCTAAGGGCAGTAGAGAAGGAACTGAGGGAAGGTTGGTCACACAGCACTATGTAACTGCCAGAGGTGGTGTGAGACAGAGACAATGCATGTGCGACCCAACCAGGCACTGCTACTAACAATCTCCAACTACAAGAGTCGGGGAGCAGATTCATCTAAAGGGACTACAGGGACGCTCCTTGAAGAAGAACTGACTTGCTACTAAAAATCTCCGATTACAAGCATGGGAAGCAGATTCATCTAAAGTGACCACAGGGACACTCCTTGAAGAAGAACTGACTTGCTCCAGGTCACACGGGAGCTTTGTAGTGGAGCAGGAACCTGAACTCAGGTCTCCTGAATCCCAGGCTAGAACTTTAACCATTGAGATCACAAAAAAACAGATCACAAAAATCTCTAGATGCATTATCTTTAAGGGTAAGAAATATTTCCTTATATGTAAGTTTTTTCTGTTACTTAAGAAACAGACCTGAAACAGATGCTGAATCATGTAATTTTCAGGAATACTCAGCACCCACAGCCACAGATAGATTTCATCGAAAGCTCAGAAAAGAAGAACTATTTAATCAATGCAGAAACACTTCACAGTTTATACGTAAGTGGCTCTTAGCAGAATTACCACATTGACTAAAGTGATCATAGTATAATACAGTTCTGTAACCCATAGGGCTAGCTTGCCTTTATTATATTCACTGCCTTGCCTTCATTATATTCCAGGCTTGGCCAAACTTGCTGACTGACTGAGCTGCATATGACAATCTTCAGAAGTCTGAGAGCTGGGGCATGCCTGCCAGGGCTCAGGGTTTCAGCCCCACTCCTGCTAAAGCCCCGAGCCCCAGCAAGTGCACCCCATGGGCTTGAAGCCTCAAGACCCCCCACCTTGCTTGGCAGAAGGCAACATATGAGGGGGGCTCATGGGGTCACATGCCTGCCCCCGCCCCCAGATTTTTGCCAGGGTTTGCTGTCCCCACTTGGTTACATGGCGCTTCTGGCCTCTCTCCTTGCATGGCAGCTGCTGGAGCCGCAAGCAGGGAGCTGCGGCCTCTCCCTGCGGAGCTAAATCAGCGGTCCCTCCCTGAAGCTGTTTGCTGTTGTCTCTCCACATGGAGCTAACACCTGGGAGCTGCAGGGAAGGGCTGCTGAGGGAAAGAGGAGGAGCAGGCCTGGGGGGGGGGGAGGCATGACGCAAGCAGGCACCAGTCATCTCTGGCAAAAGCCCATAGCCCCACCACTCTGCCTCAGGGCAGAAGCCTCGAGCTCCCCCCACCCCAGTCTGATAGTGGGAGAACGGAGGGGAGTATGGGGGGGCTCTGCAAGCTGCACTTTAACTGTAAAAGAGCCACAGGTGGCTTGCGAGACACAGTTTGGCCACACCTGCTATATTCTGCCTTTATTATATTCAGCAGTAATGCAAAGAACCTACAGGCCTGTATTCCGTAAGACTTTGGCTTCAGCAGTGAGCACAAAGCTTGAGGCCTATGAACTTTGGCACAGATAAATGACCCAACGGGAACCCGTAAGTTTTGGGGAACTGGAAATAAGAGTTCCAGGGGGAATTCTGTCCACACAGCTAGCCACAAAAAATGTGCTAACATTAGCTTTTCGAAAGTTTTGGAAAGAACATCCAATTGCAAGATTGCCATGGCAATAAATTGATGCATATATAATACGTTGAAATCATTAATCTACTAACCTATAAAAGAACACCTCAACATTAGTAGGATGAGAAAATACAAATAAGGAAGAGGGGAGAAACCCCTACTGAATATACATTAGACATGGTGGAGTCAGCGTAATATATTATAAAGGTTACATCCCAACCAGTGGGCAGTGAAAGAGAGAGATGTAGTCCTTGGAAGATGCCAAAATGATGGCCACTGATGATGATGAAGATGATAATGGCTAGTATTTCAGGTTGTTCTGCAATGGATGGTGTGAATATGGATATTTAGATGTACTTTCTGTATTATTATTATTTATCTTATTGAGTTGGAGTGTTTGTGACTTTGCTAAATGTATTAATAAATTACTGTAAATATAGAAAAGTCCCTATAGTGTGCGTGTTGCAACTATGCACACCAGAGTTCCCAATTATATTACTTGCATCTGAAGAAGTGAGGTTCTTACCCAGGAAAGCTTATGCTCCCATTACTTCTGTTAGTCTTAAAGGTGCCACAGGACCCTCTGTTGCTTTTTACAGATTCAGACTAACACGGCTACCCCTCTGATACATGACCCAATTATATAGTAATTTTAAAACTATTGGGCCTGATCTTGGGACAAGAACCTATCAACCCTCAAAGTGATAACTGGGAATTCTTATGTAATCAATATAATTTAGAGAATTTTTCACTTGACCAGAGCTCAAAGAGCCAGGAAGTGATAGATCAGGCTACAATTCCCATCTTGTGTCAGCTTCTGTGTGTCCTAGAGAAATACAATTTCAGTTACCAATTATGTGACCTAGCTTCTATGCTAAGATTACCATTCTGTTATGTTGTGCCTTTAAACACAAATCTATACTTGGTATCCTTAGTTACTTGACTAGAGAGGACACTTCTGTGAGGCTGCTTGATGTCAGAATCAGACTTAAGCGAAAAAGGACTTAGTACAGCCTTGCAAAATTTTATTAACTTAACAACGACAAACAAATCAATGGGCAAGCAAAATATGAGTTCACTTTTCATTATCTTGGGGTAAATAGATTTGGTGTCTGACAAATGTAGGGCTGGTACATTTTCATGACAATTTTGTAAGGCTGATTTATTCCAGTCACAGTTCTAAGGCAGATACAGTCCACTCAGTTTCTATAATGATATGTTCAATGAGAAAACCTAAAAACGGATTCTACACAGACAAACAGAACCAATGGAGCAAGGGCTATTTATGAGAAAAATAGAAACAGCCTTGAAAAGTTATGAAAGTTTGACAGCAGTTACTTCACTCAGTCTTATTTTATTAGAAACTACAATGTCATGTGTTTTTCAATTAGGTTCATGTCTAGTCTTCACTTCCAGTAGGTCTCTACATACAGCCTTGCTTCTTCGATGAAATTATAAGGATTTTTTTTCTTTTCCTCTGAAGCGTAAGCTATGTGGCACAGAGTCAAGATGCCAGGCTTGGTGGGGCAAAGGTCTGGATCCAATAGGACATGCGTTCTCAACTTGGGGTTCATTACTACCCTTCCTTTCCCATATTGCTATGTGGGACAGGGCAACTCAGTAGGTACAATTTTGAGCACCACTGAAATATGGCAATTCCTACGAAAAATTTGGAGTTAAAGGTAACAGGACAGAAAATCTTAAAAATACAATATATTTACGGGAAATGATTATTGCATTTTCCTAAACAAATGCTCTTACTTTATCTTCTACCTAAAGTGAACATGGCTATACCACCTATGAATAGAGAGAAACATACTAACAAACACTCCTCCTTGAATATTCTCAAGTGCTGCACCAAGCCAATAATTTAAATTTTTAATATTCAGTATAGCTTATCCACAAAAGAACAAACAGAAAAAACAGTCATGATCATTTATTATTGATCGATTGTAGTTCTAAGTTCTAGTACAAATATTTACACTAAGAATCCAACATAGTCATAACATTTCTCAGTGAGAACAGACATTTTTTAATTCCCACGACACTGACTCTGGCTACACAGTCTTATTGAACACTACCTATGTTTCCAAATTCCTGCAGGAAAACTGTGGTGAAACTATGTTATGCACTACAAACATTTAACAGTATAGCCTAAAAAGTTTTTAGAAGGAAAATCCTCATTCATAAAAACATCCACATGCGGTATCCAGTGCACAGTATATGAAGTCACTCACTATACCTGAGGTACAAATATTGAATAGTTTTAGATCGCTTTATCATCATGAAGCTGCTTGTATTAATTTGAAGAACATATTTTGAAATAATAAACACAAAAGCATTTGTTGAAAACAGTTTTCCTTACCACAGAAAGGTGTTAATTCGTACCCTGTTCTTATAAATTAGTATTCCTCCTGACATCACTCCAATCATAATTTCATTGTTACTTTGATCCTTTAAAAGAGAACAAAACAATAGATTCAACACAAAACAATTAAAATATATATTGTAGAAACCCATATATATTTCATGTATGATCATCCACATCCCCTCTCTCATACACACACCAAAATCCTATCTTAATTAACCTATTGGGGCAAGTTTTTAATGCAATGAACATTTAATGGTACAGTTCCTATTAACCTGAGCTGAAAATTTACCCCATTTTTTCCCTTCACTATTAGGAAGTACTCCCCTCACAAATGCAATTTATATCTTTCCTTTTCCACCTAACCCTCTGTTCTCACTGCTAAATCTCTGTTCCATGCCCTTTTCACTTACCTAGACTACAGTAACTGTCTCCCTCACGCTAATCTATATGCACTCTAGTACACACAGCAACTGAAATTATCTTCTTTGCATGTCACTCCAATCCTGTGAACCACTACCTTAACTTCCTTCCCCATTCAACATGGGGTTCCAACTTACCACTTGCAAGACTTTACACAGCACCTTCCCTGTTTATATCATAGCCTTTGTCTCTTCCTCCTCTCATAATTCCAATTTTTTTAATTGTAATAATGGCAAACTAAAGAGTGTTCAAATGCTACAGTGATAAGTAATAGTTATGAAAATAATGTCTAAAAACAAAAATCCAAGATTCTTAGCTGCTATGGCAGGCTCTAAAGGGAAAGTGCACATTCCTGCAGTTTGTCTCATAGGTCCACTATCCTTTTTAGAGTAGGACACTTTTAATATTGATTTAGTAATTTAAACTGAGGTAATCCATTCTCTGGAAGAATGCATCTTTTTTCAGTTTTACACAGATACTCCCATTCTTGTCTTCTAATGGAATTATCTGCTTAAATAGCCTTGAAATATAAGGTAACTTATTGGAAGTAGTTGTAGTAGTGAAAATTACCTAAATGAAACATATTACACAATGTATCCAAACACAGATGATTATGAATCACAGGCTCAGTAAACTGACTTGGTAACAATCCAACAGTAAACTCAACTAACAACTTATACTCCTACATGAAAGCAAGTTGCAATTTCAGTACTTAGGGCATTGTCTACACTACAATCGCTACAGTGGCACGTGTGTAGTGCTGCAGCTATGCGGATATAGCATAGATACTTACTACAGAGATGAAAAGGGTTTTTCTATTGCTATAGTAAATCTACCTCCTTGAAAAGCAGCAGCTAGGTCGAACGTAGAAAACTTCCATCATCCTAGCTGCATCTATTGTGAGGGTTAGGTCGACCTAACTATGTCACACAGGGCATAAAATTGTTTACATCCCTGAGTGACGTAGCTAGGTCAACCTAAGTTTTAGGTTTGGAGGTGGGAGATCCTAGTACAAATAAGACTTTTGCTATTTCAAACCATACTTTGCTAAAAATGTTTCTGCACTCTATCAAATGCCTGCTATATCCCAACATGTGTATAAGCAAGGATTGGGTGCATCCATGTAATGTAAAAGTTGTAAATACTTGAAATCCTATTTAGCACGTTTCTTTATGTAGAATTAAGATCAGAAATCAGAACACATGACTTATTTTTAATAGAAGAATCCATGCTGTTTGAAGATTATAGTTTTAAGTAAAATGTAAATCTGTGTTGGTGGGGCTTCAAGAGACAGATGGGAAATTGTTCCTACGGATGACCTACTTACAAATGATGCATTTTAACATATTGACAAGAACTTAGATAATAAACTTTTAGATACACACTTGGATATTGGCCATAATCTGCAATGTCCATTTAAAAAGTGTATTATTGCCCTGGTTGCAATGATGTAACCTTCACAGTATTAAATTATACAAAGGTTTATGGAACTTGCAACTTAAGTGAGATAGTAAACGTGAGAACTTCCCATTCAGTTAAATAGGATATTAACTGAAGCCAAATAAAAACTTCAGAAGCCAAAAGTTCCCTAAATGCCAAAGAGACATTCAACAAGCACATTTATCCAATACAGTTGCAAATAACTGGCACAGCCTGATGTTCACCTTACTTAGCCTCAGACTGAGCAAGGTACTTAATCATTTGTGTAACTTTAAGCATGAAATCAGATAAGGGCTACTCAAATTGCTGAAAGTTAGGCCCATGACTGAGTACCCTGCTGAATTAGGGCCTTGAACGTTATACTCAAATTATACTAAACTGTTCCTGAAAATATCATGAATCTACGTTTATATTACTGTATGAATTCATTCAAACTTACTCTTGCATAGTGCAATTCAACTCCATAGAGTTCTAAGGTACGTGCTGTATTGAGATAATTGAACTCAGCTTCTGCAGGAGACAAGCCTCTATAACGACAAAGATGGGTTAAATACGAAGCAGCCCAAAAGTACGTAAAATATCCAGATCCCTTAGTCAGCTCAAGCAGATTTTAAAAATTCATTACCTTAACCTCATTTTTTCTGATAAACTAACTCCCCCTTGACTCCACCATATACATTGATTGTCATGCAACAACTTTGGCAGCTAGAGATTCAAGCACTTTCCTCACATATATTTGTTAATTAGTTGATTGGTCTCCACATGTGTACACTCACAATTCTGCCTGTTCTGCCTCCACACAACAAAAATGTCATTAAATGAAGTCTGCAATACATACTCTGCACATATATATGTTTATTTCAAATGGCACAGTGAAAGGTGCCTTAAAGGGCCTGAAAACCTTTGAGTTGGCAGTGAAGTCTCTAGAAACTGCTCTTGCAATTAGTACTACATTTTCAATTGAAATAATATCTTCTCTGCAGGGTCCACCCTAGGTTTTAATATTTGTACAATCACCAAGTTCGAATTGTTTGTTTTTCCTTATTCCCCCAACCTTTTTAATTTGCTATATGTTTGACTGAAACTGAGCAGTGTAGACAGTCACTAATTGGCAATTTTGGTAGTTGCTAAAGTCACCAGTATCCCCTATCTGTAATAAATAAATGTGTTAGAGGAGTACAACCCCTGTTAAACATTTTAGTGCCTATTTCCTAACATACTAATAGACTCTTTTTAACTGAAAGTTTATCAACTGTATATTATTACACAAATTAGGATATTTACTTTCAATGATTTTTTTTGTTTCATATCCTTTTGGCTCTGTAGTAGAAAGTCATACAACTGCATATAACTGATAAAATCTGATGTATTGCAAAACTGCTTTATCTACTTCTGAGAGAGAGACAAGGCAATGAGGTAACATCTCTTGTTGGACCAACTTCTGTTGGTGGAAGGTAAAGGTTTCAAGCTTTGCAGAGCTCTTTTGCTGGTCCAGGGAAGGTAACTAGAATGTTTGAGCTAACTACAAGTTGGGACAAACTATTAAGCACAAGGGGTTAAATCATGCTATAAGATACCACTTAAAATGAAGAGGTCGATTAAGGGTTAGCAGGCAGCAAGATGCATTAAAAATTGTTGTAATGAGCCATAAAACTAGTCTCTCTGTTAAGTACATAGTTTTTAGTGTATAACAGAATTATGAATTTAATTTCCCACGCTTGCCTTTTGAATGTTTCCATTGAGGATGAGCACTGAGAGGGCCGATATGGAGTGGTCATTTTGTGAAAAGTGTTTACCCATGGTGATAGGGTGTTTTTGGTTTTTTATCATTTTACTGTGAGAGTTCATTCAAGAGCATAGGAATTGTCTGGTTTCGCCAACACTGCTGTTGTTGGGATATATGACACACTGGATGAGGTGCATCACACAGTGATGGGCACGTGCAAGACCCATGAATCTTGAAAGGTGTGTTGTGGGGGGGCAATGATCATCACAGCCGTGGAAATATGTCTGCAGCTTTTGCATCTGTTCTGTTGGCGGCTGCTGCGGGGAGCTTGCTTAACTAGGTTGGGGGGTTCATTGAAGGCCAGAATAGGGGGTTCGGGAAAGATCTCTTTCAGGATGCAGACAAATATGAGTTGTAATTGTTTGATGATACCCTATATGGGTTCCAATGTCGGATGGTAAATGACAACTAGGGGTGTGCGGTCAGTGCGGTATTTATTTCTGTGTTGAAGCAAATCCTCCCGTAGTATTTGAGTGGCCTATTTCACGATGTGATCTACTTCTCTGGTGGTGTGCCCTTGTTTAGTGAAGGCGGTTTTAAGTGTGTTTAGCTGTGTATCCCAGACTTTGTCTTCAGAGCAAATTCTGTAGTATCTGAGTGCCTCGCCACAGATAACAGATGCCTTTGTATGTCTGTGATGGTTGCTGGATTGGTGGAGTGTGTAAGAGTGGTGATCTGTAAGTTTCTTGTATAGAGCTGTTTGAAGGGTTCCACTGTTGAAGTTGATTGTGGTATCCAGGAAGTTGATGCTGGTGTAGGAGTGTTCTAGAATGGCTGTTGCAGTTGTGGGGAAAATCTATCAAGGAATTTAGGTCATCTGTCCAGAAGATGAAAATATCATTGATGTATCTCAGGCATATCACTAGTTTTGTGGTGCATTTTCCCTGAAATACTTCCTTGGGATGGTCCATGAAGAGGCTGGCATACTGGGGAGCAACCTAGTACCCATGGTTTGGACAAAGTGTTTGTTAAATGTAACAGCAGTGATGCTATCATGGTGACAGATGTTGGTGTGTAGGAAGGTGACATCTCTGGTGGCATGGATGGCATTCTGAGGGAGGCCGTTAATGTTGTGGAGTTTTTGGAGGAAGTTGGCAGTGTCTTGGAGGAAACTGCCTTTTGCAAGGCGAATGGTTCGAGGATGGTTTCTATGAGTCCTGATATTTCTTCCGTGAAAGTGTCATGGCCAGATATGATGGGTCTGTCTGGGTTCCCTTTTTTGTGCATTTTGGGAAGCATGTAGATGGTTACTGGGGTGGGAGAGGAGGGGTTGATGAGGTTATAGAGTTTTTCTTGGAGTTGCCTGGGGAAGGAGTCGATAGTATCTTTAAATTCCTGTGTGAATTGTGGTTTTTATGCTAGGTGGTGTCAGAGAGTCGTCTGTTGCCCTCACTGATGTAGTCATTATGATTAACGACTATGATGGCGCCTCCTTTGTCTACTGGTGTGTTCACTATTTGATGGCTGGATTTCAGGGACTGTACAGCAATCCTCTAGATGGTAGAGAGATTGTGTGGATATAATATTTGTTGAAGAGTCCAGTCAATTTTTCTCTGAAAGTAATCAATGTAATGATCAAGTATGTGGTTTCTTCTGCTGTGTGTGTGTCTGTGTGCAGTCAGATGATTACCTTTTCTTATGACTGTCAACGGAAGTGTGGTAGTTGTGGGTGTTGTCGTCTTTGTTGTGAAAGAATTCCTTGAGGAAGAGTCATCAAAAGAATTCTTCTCATTCTCCACATGTTAGTACGGTATCAGGTTCTGTGGTGGGGCAGAAATTCAGTCCCTTGGAGAGTACAGATACTACCGTATAGATTACAAGTAGTCTTGATAGGTTGATGATGTTGGGGTGTTGTTTAATGTCCATGTGATAGGTTATGGTATCTTGGTTTCTCCCAGAGATGGTGGTGTTGGTTGTGAAGTTGTTATAGTTGGTTCCACTTTTTGTTTTGGTGTTGTTGGCTGTCATCAGATTTTTTTTGTTTGTTATTTGGGGTTTCCTGATTTTTTTCTTCCAGTGTGTGGGAGCATGTGATGTTTGAAGTGATCCCTTCTGGAATATGTAAAGTTCAGGAGATGGTTCCTCCATTTTTCTGACATTTTTCTGCAGTGTTTTTCTGGTGAATCCTCTGGAAATTATGTTTTGTTTGTTGAATCTGCTCAGGAAGTGAATGTCACTGTTCAGTCTGGCTTCCTCCTTCTCTATGTTGTGATGGTTCCATTTTAAATGGCAAAATTTGATATCTTCCATACTTATTTGCAGTGTTATTGTAGCCATCTTTGTCCCAGGATATGAGCGAGACAATATAGTTGAGATAATATCTTTTATTGAACCAACTTCAGTTGCTGGAGAGACATGCTTTTGAAGTTCACAGAGCTCCTCTTTAATATACTTCTAAATATATACACACACACACTTCTACAGTAATTCCCTGTTGCTGGTAAAGGCAACATACACAGAAACCTTATGCAGGCAGATCATTATGAATGACTGAAGACTTTTCTTAAAGAAACCAAAATTTCCTATAAAAATTCACACACTACTATAGAAAAAAAGTCTCATATATATCCTTTCTTCAAAGTAATTTAAAGATTAGCACACTCATTCTGAATCTTCCCTCTTCTCCAAACTGCAGCAATACTTTATATAAAGACATGTAAAAATACTGCATTGTAAAAATTCACCTATTAAGTTTATTCAGGCAATATTTCTACAAAGGAACAGCATCTGTAGACAGTGATATTATAAAATAAGAATAATTTTTTCTGTAAATTCTTACATATGCTGATGATGTAATTTTGCTATTTCTTTTTCAAAGTCTTGAGGCTGGCTAGGGATGAAAGAGTAGTCTGAGAGGTAGCCTGGCAAGTTTTCTGAATGGTTGTAGTCTCCCAATTCGGCTAAGAGATTGAAGGGAAAGATTATTACTTGTTTAGTGCAAACAACATATTCAGCACTGTATAATACCCAAAGTTTAACACAGTTCTGGACCCAAACACCTTATGATCTAGAACAGACAAAGAAGACAGAAGTTTGAATTCACCTTGTTTCCTTAACATGAGTTATAAGCTCAGTCGGTATCACTGAAGTAGTTTTTAAAAAGGACTTGAATGACAAAAAGGTGCTGGCTTGGCAAAATGGTTTATGAAATGTTCATGTTATAATGTACTTAACTTACTTACCACCTATATAATGATTAACTCTAAATAAACAGAATTTTGTTGCTCCAGGGTATTTCTGTAATCAAATACTGTTTGTGTGTGTCCATGTTTTCATTTCATTATGAGGACTCACTTTTTCAATATTTCCAAAACCTGTTATAATTTTATCCTCTAGAATATAAGATTTGCAAAAATAACCTAATGCATTCTTGCCGAGGTATTTCCAAAAACACAAAAAAATTGCTTATTTTTATGTCAGCTCATATATCAGTTCATTCAAACAATTGAAAATTAGAATTATAGAAATTTATCACAATTTTTCAGATGATGTTTTATAATTTTATCACATTAATTAAGATAACAGCTCCTGCATTATTAAATCTAAGATCTATGACCAATTTTAACAAACAAAATGGGTAGGATTGCTAAAAAGTTAGGCTTTGAGAGCATGACTATAGTTGGACAGTACTGAAAACCAGTTTTAAAAATCAACTTCAGATCTTGTAACTGATTTATTGTTTTGGAGAAGCAGCACATTTAGTTAAAGACTGTCCCTGTTCTATTTCCTTATAGCTAGGGCCCTACCAATTTCACAGCCATGAAAAACACGTCATGGACCGTGAAATAAGCCCTTCCCCATGAAATCTGATGTCCCCTTGTTCCTAGGAGTGCCCCAGCAAAGGGGACTCCTAGCTCTGGTTGGGCAGTGGAGGGACAGGACTTGTCCATTTCCTGCACAGCTGCTCTGGAGGGGGGTGACCAGACCTACATCTCGGTGCCTCCCCCTGCTGCAGGATGCTCTTGGACTGGGCAGGAGCCCCAGAGGTTCCTGCAACTGGAGACTTGTGGAGCTGTGTCCCATCTTCCCTGTGCTGCTGGGAGTGCACCAGCAAAGGAGGCTCCTAGCTCCGGCTGGGCAGGGAAGGGACAGGACTTGTCCATCTCCTGCACAGCTGCTCGGGGGGTGGGGGGAAGAGAGGGAGGAGGACAGATCAGACCCACCTCCACCTCCGGAAACCTCCTGCGGCTGCAGGAAGCTCTGCGGTTGCTGCCTTCAGAGTTCAGCTCTGAAGGCTGCACAGAAGTGAGGGTGGCAATCCCATTACCTTCCTACAATACATTTGCGACCACCCCACACAATCCCCCTTTGGGTCCGGACTCCCATGGTTACAACACAGTGAAATTTCAGATTTAAACATCTGAAAACGTGAAATTTACCAATTTTCAAATCCTCTGGCCATGAAATTGACCATAATGGACCGTGAATTTGGTAGGGCCCTACTTATAGCTATTGTGTATACATATTTATAAAGTGTCCCATATGCTAAAGCCTCTGGGACCATAAAATCTCACATACAAACATAATGGAGAACATTAAGGTTGTACTTTTAAGCCTTCAAATATCAGGCAATGTCAACAGTAGGATTGCATGTGCAAACCTAACTTAGCCTGATCCTGGAAGGCGGCCTTCTGAGGCTACATGGGGTATAAATACCGTCTCCTCCCCACTCCACACACACACACTCCTCCAGTGAGCAGGAAGAGCAATGCAGTGTCCTTCTCCTGACTTGGCCCCACAACTGCTTCATGCCCTTCCTATCCATCCCTGTAAACTTTCCCCCATGTCCCCATCTGCTGTAAGGGAACCTGTAGATGGTCAACACCCCTTTTCTTCCAGCTAGTTAGACAAAGACCCCCTGAACCAATGTTCCCTCTAATTTTTTCCATCCATGGGCAGAATGAATTTTGTTATGTGCACCATATCAAGGTAATATGCAGATGTGCGCCACCAGTAGAAACCAAAAATCTAGATATAATATACCTTTTAAAAAAATTACCATAGGGATAATTACTCCAGCCAGGACAGGTTAGACATGTTAGAACTCACTACTTAAAGAATTAAATTTAAGAGTAAGAGAGAAATAAAAATTATGAAATGCATACACCAGTCAAAAAACTAAAATAACACACTTTGAAAGAAGTATCAAGAAGTAATAACAACAACACAAGTATGTGTTGCAAGGTGAGTGTGAAAGACTGTGCATGTGTGTCAGAGACGCACAGCGTGTGTGACAAAGAGAGACGCATGTTGACTCTTTAAGTACGCTGACCCCACTTTAAGCATGCTGCCCTTTTAAGTAGATCAGCAAGTTCAGACACAGCAGCAGCTGCCAGCAAGCTCCATCTGCCCTGAGCCCTGTTGTGTCCCTCCACCCCCGCTCTGTGGAGATTGGGTACAGGGGAGTGGGGGGGGGGGCAGGGGACACCCTGACATCAGCACCCTTCTCCCCTCCCCCAGCCCCGCTTCGCACAGCAAGCAGGAAGCTCCCAGGAGCAGCTCCAAGGCAGAGGGCAGAAACAGCACACAGCAGTGGGGGAAGGGACACCTGAACGGCGCAGCCCTTGATAGTCTGCTGGGCGGCCGCCCAGACGTGCAGCTTACAGGGAACTTAGCCCTTAACTTGCATGAAGGATACAACGGGCACATTCATAGATTCTAGGACTGGAAGGGACCTCGAGAGGTCATCGAGTCCAGTCCCCTGCCCTCATGGCAGGACCAAATACTGTCTAGACCATCCCAGA